CGGTCGCAGGGGTCGCAGCTGCGACTGGGCCCGTCACTCCAGGGGGCCCAGCCACCATGCGGACCCCTGCGACCGGATACCCTCCACCATCCTTTGCATGCCCGGCCCGCACGGCAAACCGCGGGGACCGCATGTTAAGGGGTCCATCGGGTGGCCCATGCTGTCACTGCACGTCACTCCTCCCAGCTATCTGACAGAGCCGCGCGGGAGTAAGGAGGAGGGAGTCAGAGTTGGAACTCTGACTCCCATCAGGCTGAGCCCACACTGGACCCCATGGAAGTCACCCTCCTGCAAAAGGTAGGAAACAGGAGGGTGACTTAAACATTTTGTATGTGTCTGTGTGTATGTCTGTATGTATGTGTATGCATGTGTCTGTGTATCTGTGTGTCTGTCTCTATGTATATGTGTGTGTCTGTGTGTCTGTATGTATGTGTCTGTGTGTGTCTCTGTATGTATGCGTCTGTATCATACAGACACATACATACAGAGACACACATACATACAGAGACACACACACACATACATACAGACATACATGCATAGAGACGCACACACACATACATACAGACTGTATGTCTGTCTGTATGTATATGTCTGTTTGTGTGTGTGTGTGTATGTATGTCAGGGGGGTGTATGTGTGTGTCTGTCTGTATGTGTCTATGTGTATGTGTGTGTCTGTCGGGGGGTGTATGTGTGTGTGTCTGTCTGTATGTATCTGTCTGTGTGTATGTATGTATGTGTGTGTATGTATGTATGTGTCTATATTTATGTATGTGTCTGTGTTTATGTGTGTGTGCCTCTATGTATGTGTCTGTGTGTATGTGTGTGTCTGTGTCTCTATGTATGTGTCGGGGGGGGGCACGGATCAGTTTCGCACCGGGGGCCCTATGTATTGTGTATACGCCACTGGCCGGGCCCCGGACTGCCTTGGGCCCTCAGTCCATGACTGATCTGCCCGAGCAGTCAGTCTGCCCATGGGGACAGGGACATTGCACCAGACCACTTCAATGAGCTGATAAAAATGTATACTTTAATTTTACCACCCAGAAAACGCTAATAACACATCTCTGATTTCCATGGAGACCTGACAAACCCAGACTGGGTATGAACATCGGGGATATGCTCTGACAGGTACACAGTGCATTTGGGCCCAATATGGCCAGCGACCGAGACACATACTCTGATTCCTCAGAAGAGCTATCTTTAGGCCTGAGAACTGATAGATTAATCTATTTTAAGTTATTTTTAATTAGTTTCACTGAACGTGTAAAAATTATTATAAGCAAAAACTTGAAAAAATAAGTATTTTTCCCATTTTTGACATTTTATCCAGGTAACTTTGATTTCACAAACCTGTTTCTTGCTCTGTCTTAAAGGCCCACGCTTTACTGTCACCTTCCACTTCTGGAAGGTCAAATACTTAAAGAAAAAAAACACAGAAATTTCACAATCTGACATTTGATAAACGTAGGACACAAAGTATGTTTACTGTACTGTTAAGACTCCGAGCTCTTGAATGAACATCTTTCTTTAAAGCTTTTTTTTAGCATCCCAGTGGATGTAATCTTGAGTGTGAACACGCATATGAATGGAGATGCATTTCATCCTCGTCTCATAAAAAATGTGTTCCGTTAAACTCATGCAAGTTTAAACCTATTCTATGTATCAGTATGCGTGACCTTGCTATCTTTGACGGCTGTCTCCAGAGGAAAGAGACAGCATATCACACACCTGATTGTATTTCATTTAGCATCTGTCTATAACAGAACCATTTTGTTATTTATAGTGTTAAGTGCAAAAGCAGCATAGCTCTGTGTAATGATTTACATAAACGAAAGTTTAAAAAACCACTCCGTGATAATAATCAAATCATTAAAACAAATACTGTAGAGGGTAAAAGGACCAATATCTCTCAGTATTTATACATTAAAAAGAATATAAATGAGGACTTTAATCAGAACAAATATTTAAGGAGTCTAGATGGTGTGCTTCTGCAAAGCCAAATGTATAATATATATTAATCTTGAAACAAAATACAAAAATACCTAAAATTTGTCTCACTCAATGGCATACACAATAGATCTAAGGTGGCATACGTTCACAAAAAAGAAGAAAAAAAGCTGTAAGTGTATGATTACTATCTAAAGGACAGATTAGAGGGGGTAACCCGTCACAAAAGTTAAATATAAAGAGAGAGAGAACATAATCTGTCCTAATTAACTGGGATCTTAAATAAATTAAACACTTAAAATCTAACGTTTAATAGATATGATTAAAAAAGGTAAAGTAACCTTAAGTCTCTGTGTAGCAGATACCATCTGGCTGTCCATCACATTTTTCATTTGGCAACAAGAATTTTCGTGTGGTTTTATTGTCTACAAATACTTATACATAAGCATTTGTCTGGTTGTTCGGTAAAAAGCTCTGAAGACTACAGTGAACCATTTCGTTCGACATACGAATGAAATACCGAACAACCAGACCACCCTTGAGAGAAGTGTGGCTTCAATTTACCTCCCCAGCCGTCTTTATTGCCATTTAATTGGAAAAGATACAAACGCACTGTTGTATTCCCTGTGTGGCCGCCATTCGGCATGCGAACACGTGGCGGCGGCCATCTTAACATTCGAACGCCCAGCGGTGTTTTGTCGTCGAGTGTCTGAAACCCAAATCAGACACTCGACTATGCGAACACCGCTGAGACCTCCAGAGTTCCATAACTGTTGAACAAAGCACACGGTCCGACGTTCGGCTAAATGAATCCCAATGAACAAGGGGATTCATACAAATACCAGCACAGCCCTGGATGCTAAGGATTTTCGTGACTTTTACCCTGCGAACGAAGACCGACCACAAGGCCAAAATGCATGGAACTGATTTCGGCTATTGCCTCGTGTGCGGTCGGTCAAACGAACACATCCATCTAACTCCCGAACACTTGGTCTGATCCGGGTGATTTTTGAGTATGTTGCTCACCCAGATCAGAAATTTAGGGGTGTATCTTGTATATTTGGGGTACATCCTGAAACTGGGGAAAAGTGTGTACTAAATAATTGGATTATCTGTCAGGCTGAGGGGAGGAGATGTGTGGGTTGTAACTTGTAAATGATTGGTTAATGTATTTATTTAAGATCCCAGTAAATTAGGACAGATTATGTTCTCTCTCTTTATATTTGAGGTGGCATAAGGTAACTAAAAACTACATATCCTCTTATACCTGGGCCTGTTGTAGAAAAAGGGTCTGTATGTAGGTACAGACAAACACATTAAACAATGCATCAAGGGGAACCTTAAAGATTCAACTTGCATTAAGTTTTTTAGGGCTAACTATGAGTATCCTATTTCAATTCCAGTTTTAAAAGTGCCGATTTATATGAGAAATCTGCACTTTTATATTTAACCCCTTAAGGACACATGACATGTGTGACATGTCATGATTCCCTTTTATTCCAGAAGTTTGGTCCTTAAGGGGTTAAAGGAACACTACAGGGTCAGGAATACAAACATCTATTCCTCACCCTATAGTGTTAAAAACATAGTTTAGAAATCTGAAATGTTAGTATGAAAACAAACGTTTTTCTCAAATACAGTAGACTTGACAAAGAATAGATAAATAAAAACAGTCAAATACATTGCTTATAGGTATTAGCAAAAACCCTGAAGGCATTATTAGCAGTATGCCCTACTAAAAATGGAAACAAAATGTAAAACGGATGCCTGTATTTGAGCATAAGGTCCACATACAGTAAATAGTTAACCCCTTCAGGACTGAGCCAAATGTACACGTTGTGATCAAAACAAAACGTAAACAAAAATTTGAATTTGCATTTTATGTCTGTTCAGGCGTAATTCACCTCTTTCATATTATGTGCACCCACACTTATTATATTTCATTTTATTCAGGGGAAACAGGGCCTTCATTTAACATCAAATATTTAGGTATAAAACATTTTAGTTCTACGTGACATTCTAACTGTGAATGTCATAATACTGTTTGATTTTACTGCAATAAAATACACATATTTGTATTCAGCGATGTCTCACGTGTAAAACAGTACCCCCTATGTACAGGTTTTATGCAGTGGCGTACATACCAGGGTCGCAGGGGTCGCGGCTGCGACCGGGCCTGGCCCACCAGGGGGCCCGGCCACCCCTGTGACCCGGTATGTAGCCACAGGGCCAGCCTCTTCCCCTGGGGGGCCCAGGAGCCGACCACCCCAGGGCCCCCCGAGGCTGGCCCTGCTGTCACACACACACACACTCCTGGGCGGGTGGACGGTCGGGCAGGCGGGCGCGCGAGGGAGCACTAACACTCTAACACTAACACACACACACTCAAACACTAACACTAGTTTTTTTTAAATGTAATCCCTCCAGCCTCCTTACCTTTTGGAGTGCTGGGGGGATTCCCTGGGGTCCAGTGGTGCTGCTGACACCCGGCGGGTGGCCGGTCGGGCAGGCGGGCGCGCGAGGGAGCACTCAGTGCTTCCCCTTCAGCTCCCTCGCGCACCTCACTGATACCGGAAGCCGGAAGATGATGTCATCTTCCGGCTCCGGCATCCCTGCGCGGCGCGCGAGGGAGCTAAAGGGGAAGCACTGAGTGCTCCCTCGCGCGCCCGCCTGCCCGACCGGCCACCCGCCGGGTGTCAGCAGCACCACTGGACCCCAGGGAATCCCCCCAGCACTCCAAAAGGTAAGGAGGCTGGGGGGATTACATTTTAAAAAAACTAGTGTTAGTGTGAGTGTTAGTGTGTGTGTCTGCTAGTGAGTGTGAGTGTTAGTGTGTGTGAGTGTTAGTGTGTGTGTCTGCTAGTGAGTGTGAGTGTTAGTGTGTGTGAGTGTTAGTGTGTGTGAGTGTTAGTGTGTGTGAGTGTTAGTGTGTGTGTCTGCTGTGTGTGAGTGTTAGCTGTGTGTGAGTGTTGTGTGTGTGAGTGTTAGTGTGTGTGTGCTGCTAGTGAGTGAGTGTTAGTGTGTGTGAGTGTTAGAGTGAGTGTTAGTGTGTCTGCTAGTGAGTGTTAGTGTGTGTGTGTTAGTGTGTGTGTGTCTGCTAGTGAGTGTCAGTGAGTGTGTTACTGTGTGTGTCTTACTGAGTGTGTGTGTGTTAGTGAGTCTGTTTGATGTCTGTTAGTGAGTGTGTGTTTGTCAATGAGAGTGTATGTTTTGTAAGTGAGTGTGTATGTATGTCTGTCGCTGACTGTGTCTCTGTCAGTAAATGTGTGTGTCTGTTAGCTAGTGTGTATGCGTCTGTAAGTGGTGTGTGTGTGTCTTCAGCACTTACCTTTCTCCAGCGCCGGACTCCCTTGGCGCTGGGGATCCCTCAGCCTCTCAGCTCCGAATGCGACCGCGCACGCATTCAAACCGCCCATAGGAAAGCATTACTCAATGCTTTCCTATGGGCGTTCAATAACTCCTCTAGCGGCTGTCCGTGAGACAGCCACTAGAGGCTGGATTAACCCTCAGTGAAACATAGCAGTTTCTCTGAAACTGCTATGTTTTCAACTGCAGGGTTAAAACTAGAGGGACCTGACACCCAGACAACTTCATTGAGCTGATGTGATCTGGGTGTCTGTAGTGGTCCTTTAAAGGACCACTATAGTGCCAGGAAAACACTTGCCACCACCCTCAGGGACCCCCTCCCGCCTAGCTCTGGAAAGGGGAAAAGGGGTAAAACTTACCATTTTCCAGCGCTGGGCGGAGAGCTCTCCTTCTCCAATCCTCCTCTTCTCCTCCCCGTCGGCTGTATGCGCACGCGCGGCAAGAGCTGCGCGCGCATTCAGCCGGTCACATAGGAAAGCATTCATAATGCTTTCCTATGGACGCTGGCATGCTCTCACTGTGAAAATCACAGTGAGAAGCACGCAAGCGCCTCTAGCGGCTGTCAATGAGACAGCAGCTAGAGGAAATAGGGGAAGGCTTAACCCATTCATAAACATAGCAGTTTCTCTGAAACTGCTATGTTTATGAAAAAATGAGTTAACCCTAGCTGGACCTGGCACCCAGACCACTTCATTAAGCTGAAGTGGTCTGGGTGCCTAGAGTGGTCCTTTAAGTGTGTGTGCATCTGCATGCACTGGCGTACATACCGGGGTCGCAGCCCTGTAACCCCTGCGACCAGGTGCCCACCGCCATGTGTTGCGGCCCGGCCCGAGCGCGCGGGGGAGGGGCCCACAGATCAATTTTCGCACCGGGGCCCCATGGGTCATGTGTACGCCACTGGTTTTATGGTGTTTTGGGAAGTTACAGGGCCAAATATAGCATGTTACATTTTTCAGTTTTTTCACATTGAAATTCGCCGGATTGGTTACGTTGCCTTTGAGACTGTATGGTAGCCCAGGAATGAGAATTACCCCCATGATGGCATACCATTTGCAAAAGCAGATAACCCAAGGTATTTCAAATGGGGTATGCCCAGTCTTATTTAGTAGCTACTTGGTCACAAACACTGAAAAAGTTAGTGTTAATATTTGAAAATGCAAAAAACAAATTTAAACGTCAAGTTTGGCCAGTGTTTGTGACTAAGTGGCTACTAAAAAATGACTGGACATACCCCATTTGCAATACCTTGGTTTGTCTACTTTTGCAAATGGTATGCCATTATGGGGGTAATTCTCACTCCTGGGCTACCGTACGGTCTCAAAGGCAACGTAACCAATCTGGCGAATTTCAATGTGAAAAAACTGAAACGCAAGCCTTATATTTGACTCTCTACCTTTTGAAAACACCATAAAACCTGTACATGAGGGGTACTGTTATCTTCGGGAGATTTCGCTGAACACAAATATTAGTGTTTCAAAACCGTAAAACGTATCACAACAATTATATTGTCTGTGTAAGTGCCATTTGGGTGTGAAAAATTCAAAAAATGTCTCTTTCACTGACAATATCATCATTGTAATACAGGTTACTGTTTTGAAACACTAATATTTGTGTTCAGCTAAGTCTTCCGAGTAAAACAGTACCCCCATGTACAGGTTTTATAGTGTCTTGGAAAGTTACAGGGTTAAATATAGTGCTAGCAAATTAAATTCCCTGGACTTTTGGCCTGGGTTGTAAGGCTGGTCCTGCTAATTGTAATGAATAAAATTACCTAATTATGTAAAATTATTACATAAATATATACGTAGAATTATTAAATATATGTGTGTATATAAATAAACATTTATATAAATAAATGTATATATATATATGTGTGTATATGTTGATCTTTGTTATATGTATATATATATATGTATATAAATGTTTTTTAATTATTTTTATTTATATATAGGTATATATATTAATTATGTAAAATTATTACATAAATATATACGTAAAATTATTAAATATATGTGTGTATATAAATATATGTATATATATATATATATATATGTATATAATTTTTTACAATTATTTTTCTTTATATATAGGTATATATAGTGATATATACATATATACTTATATATATAGATATATATATTTTTTCGTTCTACATGTATTTTGATATCAATATATATATATTAATTTTCAAATACAGTTAGAACGAATTTACACATATATATATATATTATTTATTTATTTATTTATTATTTAATTTTTTTACGTATTTACAGATTTATTTATTTTATATTATATATAAATATATATATAATAAAAATTATATATATATTTAATCAATATTATTGTACGTGTATTTTGATGTTAATATATATTTATAATTATATATATATTAATATTAAAATACACGTAAACAGTGTATGTGTATATATGTGTATGTGTGTATATGTGTATATACATACTTAGATCATATATATAATAAGTATATATATATGATCTAAGTATATATTATTTATTTTTACACTGATTTAACTTTTATTTAATTTATTTTCAGACAGCAGGGGGGGAGTACCTGTCATTACAGTCACTCCCCCAGCTGGCAATGCCTTGGACGGCTATGCTGTCCATGTGATCGCGAGGTCCTTGCAAGGACCTCGCGATCACATGGCCCAGTGGGGCCTGTGATAGAATTTATCTTGATTTCAAGGCTCAAGCTTATAGGTGTCATATAATGATATCCTATATTAAAATTGGCTAACTTGGACTCAGGAAATGCTTGATGCTTAAACAACACTTAAGACCATATATGTCTAAGTTCCGGGAGCAGAGAGCCCCCACCTAAGATGTCTCTGCTCTAATCATTTTGTTCTCTCTTACCTTGAAACTTATTTGTTATGTGTACATGACACTCATCCCTGATGTCTTATCAGTACTCCCTTCCTATTACTGTTCTAAGAGTATTTGCACGTAAGCACTTACTTTTTAATGTATAAAACCCAGCTGATGAATAAAACGTCAGAGGCTTATTTTGAATACCAACAGGTGTCTGGTGTCTAATTCTCGCTTCTCCAAGTGCACTTGTAACAACAATTTGGGCTTCCTCTAAATATAACAAAGATCAACATTCTGATCCACAACAATTTGGTGCCGAAACCCGGGATCTGACGGTCGAGAGACTCGGACACTAGCGTACAGGTGGACGTCCCTCTGACAGTGAAATCAGCTGCAGCAAGGTAAGAAAAACTTTTTTATACCTTTATCAATTTCGCTCTTAGATCCACGTCCTACTAGTCTGTCTGGGTAAAGAACGACTTAAAAAGTCTGATCTAAAGAACTTGTTTTCTGTGGTATTATGGTTATATTCAGGTGGAGGTTGTGTTATGTCTTGTGAAAGGAATCTTGAGATAGTGGAATATAACTGTGGGTTGTAAGCTATTTTTATTGTTTGCCTTGTCATTTGTTTTATAATTGAGTTAGAATCCTCCAAGGGCAGATCTCCTGATCTGTGTTTAGAAGACAAACTGGGAAAATTCCACTGCAGCGGTCCTATGTGTCAAATACACTGTTTTTGTACAGTTTGTCTTGTGTAAGGAAGTAATTAACCCTTACAAGTTTTAAGATGGGTAGCTCTGAAAGTACCCAAGGGGGATTTACGGCTTTGACTATTGTCAAGCATCACAAAGGACAAGGCGCAATTAAGAATGTTAAGAGGTTACTTAAGAAAGCTGGCATGCCCTCAGAGGGCACTCTAGACCCACATATATGGAGAGAATTTATGGCAAATTACAGAGGTTGGTTAGAAGATAATGACTTAGTAGAAGTCGCACAAAAATGGCATGATACTGCTGTTGAATTAACTAAATGTGGTTGTAGAGAAACCACCAGGAAAGGAAAATCTTATGATATTAAATCTTTTTTAACCTGCAATTCTAAAAATGTAATCTATATGATTACCTGTCCCTGTGGATATCAGTATATAGGCAGAACATCTAGACCACTTAAAATAAGAATTAGGGAACACATTTATAACATTAATAGGAAATATACCCTACATGATGTGTCCAAACACTTTTCAGAAGTACATGGGGGCAGTACACAAGGTTTTCAATTTATGGGTATAGAAGCGGTTAAAATACACTGGAGGGGAGGAGACATAGAAAATCTTTTAAATAAAACTGAAATGAAATGGATTTTTAATATGCAAACCCTGTCCCCCTGTGGTTTAAATATAGATTTTGAGGTAAATTCTTATATATAAAAATATTTTAAATATTTTAAATTGTTTTATTATTATTTTTTAAACATTTGTTTGATAAATTATAGTGAATGTAGTTTTTTTGAAATATAAACTTTTTGGATTTAGTTTCGTATATATTTGCAGGACTTCTCGTGGGCGGCTCCCTTCCTATGGAATAGCCTGCCTACCGCCATCAGACTCTCCCCTATTCTTGCATCTTTTAAGAAGTGCCTTAAAACCCATCTCTTTAGGAAAGCTTATGGCCTCCAAGACTAACCCCTACCTCACATACCTGTCTCTTGCCCTCTCCTAAAGGGCAGCCCACCTTATTTGATTGCAAATTCCTGTCCTACTGTGTTTTACACCCCACCTCCTATAGAATGTAAGCTCGATTGAGCAGGGTCCTCTTCAACCTATTGTTCCTGTAAGTTTATTTGTAATTGTCCTATTTATAGTTAAATCCCCTCTCATAATATTGTAAAGCGCTACGGAATCTGTTGGCGCTATATAAATGGCAATAATAATAATAATAATAATTTAGATGAAATTTCCTCTTGTCTAATAATACATGTATTCCCTTTTACTTGGAGATGTTTTATAAATAACCTGTGTATATAATTCTATATATCCTTTACTGTATGGTATAACCTGGCAAAATAGATACC